TCGGGCTTTATTTTAAAAAAATTACTGCACTGTAAACTGCTACTGGAACTTTTACCGTAAAACCTGTTTTTACCGGAGCACGTTACGGAACAAAAAATCTGTTATACCGTAATTATAGTGAAATCACTTAGTAAATAAATCTTACTGTAAAAATTGCGGTATAATATTTTTACGGCAAAAATGAATTTTACACTAAAATGGATTTTACGGATGATGCACCCAAAGTGCCGTAAACTTTATACCGTAGCTTGATCCGTAATTTTTCGCAGTGTGGCATATTTTAACAAAATTAATTAACTTTCCCTCCAAAATATAGTTTTTTCGCCTTAAATAATACTTATTTTTTGAAGGAATTAAGGAGAAACAAAGGACTAAATTATAATCCAAATAATAATAAAGCAATCTTATTCATGTAGCCGCTTAGGAAAAAATAAGAGAAATTTTAAGAACCTTGTTTTGTTCTACTTTCTTCTCCAATTTTTTTTCTTTGAAAAATTTAAAAGAAAAGAACTCATGAAATTTTTAATTTTTTTTAAATGCATCATTAAAAATGTATCACTGGAGGATTTTTCTTTTCCTAAAAAAGTGAATTGATATGAAGTTCACTTTCAGTCAATGAGTTCCGTACACACCAATGCTTATGGTAATCATTGTTATGACTGCATTTTTTGAAAAAAGCATCATTGATGCATTAAATCGGCTTAAAAAACTTATTCTGTTTAAGAAGGATTGAGATTAAGTTTTTGATAAGTTCGGTTTTTAAACATTGAGAAAAGTATTCACATATAATTAAATATCATCATGTTTCTTCAGAAACCGAAATTTTTCCGAATTTTTCATCTCTTTAAAAGGATTGAGATTAAGTTTCCAATAAGTTTGGTTTCTAAACATTGAGAAAAGTATTCGCATGTAATAAAATATCATCATGTTTCTTCTGAAATCGAAATTTTTCTGAATTCTTCATCTTACTATTTAATATTTTATATTCACTAATATTTGCACAATTTGAAATGTTATTGTAAAGTTTTATTCATTCTCTTTAATTCTCATGTAGGCAAAATGTCAGATTTCAAGTGTATATTTGAAAACATAGATTTATACGTATGGCGCTAGTAATGTGACTGGAATTAAAATTGACGTTTAAAAGATATTGAGGGAAAGATAGGGTTTTGACCTACTCTGGAGAAAAGTAATGACGTCACAAAACCAAATCGAGAAAATGTAGGACTCGATGGTTACTTCCATTTTGTACCATTTTTGTCTTTAAACTCGCCAATCAAAAGCCTTAATCTACAAAATGAGAAGCGGTTTAATTAACAACTAAATCACATAAACGCAATAAATGAATTTGTTTCATTTTTGTGAAAGGTGTTACACTCTACTGAAAAAGTTTCGCCATTTTTAAGTAAAATTTGTTCGGTTAATATAATTTGAATTACTTAATGGATCAATTCTTATTATTCTGTGAATAGATTTAAACAGAATTCAATTTTTTAATTAAAGTTTCAACAATATTTGTAGTATTAACTCTGATTTATAGTCTAGTAGGCATAGTTACATAGAGGGTAATTATAAAATTCGAATTGATTAAAATTGAGTTTGATTTAATAAAACTGATATGAATAAACTATAACTAACCAGATCAAATGATTTAAAAATAGTATTAAAATTTATTGTGCTAAATACTGATGTTATTTATAATTCAGAATTCATAATATCTGTATTCATTATGAAAAAATATGCATTAGCATATGAAACAAAGACTTAAAAATGCTCCACTAACAGCATGAACTGAATATAGTATATAATGCAGAAAACTGTCACCGATCTCATAAACGTATCATTATTTTTTTGTGTTTTCAAGCTCTTCAAAAGTTTAAAAAAGTCTTTAAATTAATTTTATGATAAAAAATCCAAATTATTCTCTTTTCTAATATTAACTATAATAATTTGGAATGTCATAATAAAAATATAAATTAAGGTTAATATTTTAAAAAATACTAAGAAAGTATTCCACCTGCCAAAATGTTTTTTTTTCGAGATTATATTACAGAAACATTTCTGAAAGCCCACACTATTTTAGCAATAATTTCAGAATTTGAAATATTTATGAAATATAGATTCGTTATATACGGAGCTTCTAATAGTTTTATTTACAATGTTAAACTAGCTACACAGTTCTGTTTTGATGTAATTTTATAAAATCCTTGTTCCTTTGTGTTTTCGATGGCGATGAATACTGAATATTCCGCACAATTATGGTAATCGAAAAATAAATCATTATTTGTTTAGAATGTAAAAAGTTCTATATTATTAATGCATTAGCAGAAAATTTTACTAAACTTAGTCATTTAACATTTTAAATGTTTGTAAAATAAAACTAAAATCAACCTATTTAAAAAAAAGCTTATTGCACAGACGAGTTTGAAATAGCATTTGGTCATTGAATTATTTCTGATGCGTAATCTTCTCAAAATTTCCTTTTGCATATTGAAATTTTCAGTAATATTTTGTTACTTTTAAAATAATTCTGAAATTTCGTTATTTAAATATATGTGCGAAATTTAGTGCCCCACACTAGTGTTAGTACTACACTACACTTTTAGTGCCTAATTCAATAGTTATAATTTTAAACTTACTACACTTCTAGTGCCTAATTGAAATATTTTTTAAATATAAATATCTCGATTAGGTTAGAATTGTTATCTTTCGAAAATATAATTTTTCGCTTTTTTTTTTTTTGCTATTTGAGCACCATGGAAATTTTAATACAACATATTACCCTTTTCCAATTTTGCTTAATTTAATTTATATTGCATGCCGATATTGATTAATATTTATGAAACTAAAATATGAATTAATAACTATTAAAATGTGACAGTTACTTAAAACTATTATCCCTCTAGCAACTTACAATAATTAGTATTTTCTAAATTTCTAAACCTCCATATAACGCAAGGTAAAATGTAATACAAAAATGTTAGCTATTGCAAATTAAAATGATGTAAAACGAAACATAAAAAATTATGCAATGTATAGAATACAATTAAAAATTGTTTTAAAATCTAAAACAAATCAAAAATTGCAGTCATTTTAATTATATAATGGAGTTCTCAAACACACTTAATATTAATTCGACTAAATTAATGTCTCAGATCAAATTTCTCAAAAACATGTTTTTTTTCATAAATTTAATAAATTTGTTTTTAATTTTAATAGTAATTTATTTAAATTTTTATAAAATTAATTGTATTAACTATGTTAATAATTATAATTGTCCAATATTTCGAGAAGTTATAAATAAATTATACAAACGAATACCTTTACGACTAACTACTGTGAAAATATTACGATGTAATACATGCGAATGGAAGAATATAATGAATTTATAAAGAAAAACCACAAAAAAAACCTCAGTGTTGAACTATTTTTATTATAAAATCGAAGAAACATTATTTTATATGGGAAATATGCAGTTAAGTACAACCATTGATTACTTTGATAAACAATCTGCAAAAGAAAAATTTATAAAACCGAAATCCTACATTGTACTGATAGTAATTTTCATTTCTAAAATTTCTCAAAATTGGTATGTAAATACATGTACAAAGAATTTTACAAAGAATATTTTATATTGTGAACTATTTCAAATAAAGGAAAAAACAGACTTTGTATTATATTTAGACTATCTTAATAAGTACTTAATCAGTGTGTAGTAAAACTTATTCTAATAAGTATGATCGTGGAAATTACAGTTTGATTATCGATAATGAAGGTTATATATATAAAAACAATTTTTATTTGCAAAACTTTTCCAAGTTAATAACTTTATTTATCAATATTTGAAATAATTACAAAAACTGAATGAAAACTTTACTTAGTTATAAATTTATCAAAAATATGATTGCACTTTCAAAATATATTGAAATCATAACTTTATACAAAATTTAAAAAGATTACTTAATTTTATATACCCAAATTCTTGGTACCCACAAAAAGCGTTGAAATAAAACGGAATCTCTTGACTTTTAAAAATAAACGAAATTTTTGAACATTTGTCGATTACTTGATAGCTTTTGTCACTGTTTTAACTGTTTATTCTATTTTCTTTGTATGTGATTTAGCGTTGTCAACCATTAAAAATATTAAAATAAATTTTCCGAATTTTATTTTTTTTAAATTTTTATCCATAATAAGGGGAAATTTTTTTTTCTATAATTAAGACTATTTTTATAGTTATTGACTATAACATGATGCATGGATTAAAAATTTAGAAAACTGTTCACTTAAAAAAAAAAAAAACATATGAAGTCTGTTAAAAACAAAATTTTAATTGTTTGATGACTGCTTAGTAAAAAAAAATTCATAAATATTCACGCTATTAAAGCCATACAAAAATGACTAGTAACAGTAAATAAAGACATTTAAATGATATTTCAGCACATCAAATACAAAAATGATAATTAACACTAGAAAGACTGAAACTTAGTATATACCTATCTTGCCCAAAAGCAGTCAAAATGACTGGATTGTAAAGGAATAAATAAAGTGTAAAGAAATTTGTTTAAAATAAATTTTTAATATTTTTTATATTATTTACAGTTATATAACAAATTATTAGTAAATATCAACGATAAAAAAATTATATGTTGTACAAAATTCTAAAAAATTGTGTCATTATTTATATCATTGTTTTTCTAATTGAAATTAAAAGCTGTCAAAATGACTTCCTTAGGCAACCTAGTGTTAATTCAGAAGATAAACGTTGAAAAATATTAATTTATTGCTTAAAAACTCATTTAATTTACATTTTATAAAATGTAAATTACACTCTTGAAAATGCCACCAGTTTTCTCTTTCTTCTTATTTTTCATCTTAAAAACAAAAGAAAAAAATTGATTGAGAAAGACTGTTTTGCCATTTAATGAAGAAAAAAATCTAAAATATGGCGATAAAAGTCGACCCTTGGCGACTGGTCTTCACTCACAGTTTCTCTTGCTCTTCTTTACAACCAGTCACTCACGAATACTCATTAGAACTGTATCGTAACAACACAGGTGAAGACCGCTTGCTCCGTGGTGCAACTTACGCGCTCTGTTGCCGGTGCATGGGTGTCCACACAACCATAAACACCATACAATAATATATATTTTTTTAAATTCACGAAATATAACAGACAGCAAGTTACTAAATTTATTAAGATTTTCTTGGAATTTTCAAATAAAATATAAAATTCTTTACTGTTACGTTAGGAATGTAGTTTTGAAGTGTGTGATTAAAGGGACAAATGTTGAACATTCGAAGAAAACGGAGTCATTAAATTAAGGAGGATTTACTGTTTTACTAACTACGGTAAGTTATCTTTATGCTTATAATAGTTTTTATTGCTTTCGCACTTATTTACAAATGTCTTCGCTTTTTATTCGTAAATTAAACTGTCAAATCCTTTAATTTTCTAATTTTAAGGTTTTAATGTAACTGATATTTGTATTACTTCATTATTCAAAAACCACTGACAGTAAAAATGAGTATCAATATTTAATAGTTAATGTCTCAGTTTAAAATTTCTTGAATTTTCTCGCATCCTTTATCTGCAATATTTTAAAAGTTACTTTTTTTTCCTTTAAATTACATTTTTTATTTCATGAAGAAATCATTTTAACATTACGCAGCTTTTAATTTTTTTTATAAGTGGTTAATGAATTAAATCATTTAATAATCGACATTTTGATAATTCTTAAAAATAAGTAATTAATTTTGAACCCTGGTTTTTAAAAAAACTGTGTCTATCAATTGCTTTGTTGAAACAGAAATCTATCTTATCTCTGTTGGAAACAGAAATCTATCAATTGCTTTGTTAGTTCGCGGCAGAAATTTACAAATTATGAAATTAATTATGTTACGCAATTTCACCTGTACTATATAAGATATGTTGTGCAGCTTAGATTAATGTATATCTATAGCACGCATAGAAACCAGCTTTGCTGAGATCATATAGTTTCCCACAAGAAATAGTAATGAAGAAAAAAATAATTTTATATTTCTGTTGTTAAAATAAATCATTTAATTTTATTACGATAGCAAAATATTAAACTCCTTAGTGATGATATTATTTGTTTAGTTTTGTCAAAATAATAATAAACAAATTCAGAAAATGTATTTGAGTCTGTAGTTGAGCATTTCTTCCATCAACGCTTGAAGCACAAATCGAAAAATACGTGAGGCAAATAAACTAAAATATAAATTAGAGAAGGTTGATAAATTTTATTATGATTGTAGCTCTTTTAAAGGCAAAAAAGTTTTAGAGCTTCAAAGACATAAGAGTCTATGACATTGATGAATTATTTTAGTCCTACATAAAATAGGTATAAAAAGATATGAAACTATTAAAAATTATATTAAAACATGCAGAACAATATTGCAAATTAATGGAGAAAATATTTTGAGGCATGTTCATCTAAAATTGAAAACAAATTATTTTCTTCATTGTTTTGGCTTTTTATAGCCCTAGATATTGTGTTTTTCCCTTTTAATAAATAAAGTAAAAGAATTACATTAAAGTTCCTTAAAAACAGTAGAAATTTTAAGAGGGATACAGCCTCAAAAGTCTTAAGTATAAAATAACGCTCTTCGAGAAAAATGAGCGAAAGAGGACACAATAATTTACAATATAAAAAATCGATTTGAATTTAAACGTATTGTAAAACCTTTAAATATTCATACTTAGTTAAATATCTATCAAGCATATCATTCATACAAGTCTTCCACTCACGTTAGTTATTAAAAATAACTCTAAATTATATTAAATATTTAGTGTATATTTCCTTTATTTTTTCAACAATAATTTTAAAAAAATTTTAAATGAAGAATACTATTTTTTTTTTGTTAACAGTAGCTTTTATAAATGCTTCCAGATTTTATTGATTTGATATTGATCTTCAATTAGTGAAAAATTTAAATTAAAAATTTATTCTTATGATTTTAACATGTACTGTAAAATGCTTAAATCTAAGAACTTGACTTACCCATGAATAATTCGTAGAAATGCGAAATTATTATAATTCATAATGTTTCGCATAATTTTTTACTTAAATCTGAAAAAAATGCGGAATAAAAGAGGAAAAGAAACAATCAAATTACATATGCAGTATCTTTAAAATCAGTAAATAATGATAGCCAGTTAATCAGTTATAAATTAGTCATTCTTGATGTAATCATGCATACTTTTATTACTTGAAATACAATGTATAACCTTCTATTGTGGTTTTAGCAAAAGAACAAAGAATATTAAAATTCAATGGTATTCAATTTAAAATATAATTTTATTTTCAATTGATGATCAGTTATTCTACACATTAATACGATCCTTCATAATATAAAATCATTGAGTCATATTACAAAGATTGTAAAATTATTAACTTTCGACGCTTTATCCTCATAAACTCGCAATAGATTTCTGCTAAAACCTTTTACAATCCTTTATATTTACAATCAAAAGATCATCATGCAAGAATCACGACAAAAACTATTTCCTTTTCAAATGTAAATAGAGTTTAGTCACATCTATGTCAAAATTGGATTTTGTCGTGTTTTGTGTTTTGCTGAGGAAGATATATTTTCCTGCATGCTATTGCAAAGTAAGGAAAAAATTACTCGCGGGTTACCCAATTAAACTTGGGCCACCTTTTATTCTTGTTCATATTATAGGTCATGGGCAAACCTAAATAGGCTTTAAATAGACTCAAATATCCTGCGTTATTTGCTGAAATATGAACAAAGGGCGCAAAAATGCAGTAAATTTGAAAATGGGTAGGTTTAAGCAAATTCTTATCTACTCCGGAAATGAGTAGTTGGATAATCACACTACAAATAAAATACTAATTTTAAGCCTTCGTAATTTAATCAGAATAAATTTTGATGAAAAAGACTCTCTAACATTTCAAAATAGAAGAATAGTAAAATAAATAATTCAAATATAGAAAATTAACTAAAATTCATGGCTATGGTTTAGGTTTAAAGGAAGGTGGGTAGATAAAGTTAATCAATAAATAGTTAAACTTTTTGCCATTACAATTCAATATTAAACTTCAAAAGTAAAATAGAACTTAGTTCATACATCTTAGATATTTATTCTAAAATGAAAACAGATTTAGTACATTATAATTTAGAAAATATGTATAAAAAGGTCATTGAAAAATAATAATTCGGAGAAACTATTGAAATCTTCATAATTTATAGTTAACCATTTGTTGCAATCTGAATAACATTTAATGAAAAAGCATAAAAATCTAAAAATGAGATCAAGGGTTAGGAATGTCTTAAATAATGATTTTAAAAATGTATGGTGATAGAATTAAGAGCAATAGGAATAGTTATGTTTCAAAATTTCTTTGATACTCAAAGATGAATAAAGAATTTAATGAAATGTTGTAAAACATTTAAATAAACTGAGGATGCGTAGAAATAATTTCCTTGAAAATTATTTGAAAAAACACACACGTAAAGCTTATTATTTTGGAAAAGAAGAAATTTAAACATGTGTATAAATATCATTAAAACTTTCGGAAAGATAACTGAAATTAAATTTAGTTATGTAAAATTAAATAAAACTATTCGCTAAAGTAATAGTAGAGTTTTGTTGAAAATTGTTTAAAAATATTATTATTACGTAAACTGAAAATTTTATTCCCAATACTTTAAAACAGCATAAGATATATGGTATAGAAAACGTTATAACAGCATAACATACATGGTATAGCATGTGCTGAAACTGTATAGTGAATTAATAATAAAATTTTGATAACGTACCTGAAATTATTCATCTAATTGATGATTGATTCCTCTAATGATTCATTTATGAAAAGAAATAAGATACATTTAGAAAATTTTACCATGCCATAAAGCTATCATTAATTGGATTAATTATTAGGTCACTATTAGTTGGAATACTTATTTCTAAAATTTAGTTTTTGTTTAAAAATATGAAGCAATTTTGAAACTGTTTTAAATACTTGCATTTTTAGCAGGCATCATTTTGGTACATTGCTTATTTGTCTACTATACATACATTTTTCCCACTCTCATATATGTTGCAAACTATGTAAGCCTTAACAGCAGTAGAGTGTATTAAAAACTGATCGTTTTTTTTAAAGAAAACATCGTTTTTTTTTAAAAAAAGAAGATTACTAAAGCTTTTTGTTTTAGAAAAAAAGCTTGTTCAAATAGGGAAATATTTAGTTCAAAGAAAAAGATAATGGAAGAATAATAAAACTCTATCATTCATTTACAGCCGGTAACAAAAGATATTAGCTGTCATCAAATTTGGAAATCCCTATGGGAAAATTAACTCTTAGAAGCAGTTTATCCAATACATTTGTACATCCAGAACTTTTTTAATATCGAACTTTTAATGTCGGATATTAAAAGTTTTGAATTATCTCACTTCTTGAATTAACAGATTTCAACAATGACTTTATCTAACTATTTTAAACTTATTTTTTTCTCATGTGGTTGAATCAAAAACATAATTCTAGAATCTAAGCAAGATTCTGTTTATTAGGCATTTGTAACCCTATAATTCTTATTAATCATGATGTGCATGTAAATGATATAACTCAACAGATTGTTATTTCATAAATTTTTAAAACATTAAAGACACTGGTAAATTGTTATAAAATAATGTTAAATATTTAATTAATTTATATAATTAAAGTTAAAAGTTAGTTTAAATAATTTTTAATAATTGAAGTGATATGTAATTAAAATTAAATGTTTCAGATATAGGTATTATATGTGTATTGTTTTAATTCAAAATTTCAAGAGCCAAAAAATGTAAATAAATAGAATCTTCAAAAATAAAAATTATGCAAAGGTTAGGTAATTCTGTTCCCCATGAACAAAGAAAACAATAAATAAATTAATCAATACGTTGTTTTAAAACGTTCTTTTCATCAAAAGTAGTTTAGAAGTTAGGAATGAATTATTACAACGTCAAAAAAATATATGCCGTGAATCTTTATGATCATTATTTAAGGTTTTATTTTCGTATTCATTCCTAAATGTAAAACTTTTAAAAATAAAACCAGAGAAAATTTAATTTTCATTGAATACGAGGGTTGCTATTTATATTTCTGGCCTTGGCAACAGTAAATGTTGCTAGGCGACCGCAGACGATTTTAATCGAAAGTTTGATATTTTTAAACATAAATTCAGCAGACGATTTACCATTATAGCTTCATTTGTGTTGTTGACAGTAAACTAAAAACTTCTTCTCTTTCAAAAAATGGAATTGAATCGTGAACATTTTCGTGCCATTATTTTTCATAACTTTCGACGTGGATTGTCAAGACAAG